GGAGGGGAGGAGGAGGAGGAGAGAAAGAAAGATGGAGAGAGAGAGAGAGAGAGAGAGAGAGACACAGGAGGCGGAGGATAGCTGGGGTGCGGGTAGGCAGTAGGAGGAGAAAGAAAGTGCGCACACTCAGGAGAGAAGACCCGAAAATCCCATCTTATAACGGGCTAATTGGCTAGTTTAGAAATATTTAGCCTGCTTAAGATGACTATTTTTTCCTATTTGGAAAATGTATCATTTTATTCACCAGTTGTTACTATTGGGAACTTCACTACGGTGGTGAGCCATAATTTAGCCCTTTGGAGTTTTCAGAGTGGAAACTCTGATCCAACATCTTTAAAGGTAAAGTTCCTTAAGAAGACATAGGTTTTGAACTTGGCCAAAAACAAACAAAAAATTATAACCCTCAAATTGTTTTTCTGGCAGGGTTTGATAATTATTTATACATATACACATTGCCCTAAATGCTCATTTGGTGGACAGTCTAAAAATATACATTTTTAAACATTAAGAGCTGAAATACAAAAAAAAAAAAAAAAAAAAAAACCCACCACCTCCCCCCCAAAAAAACGAAAACACCACCGTAAAATGAAGTGACAGACTAAAAGCCCTATCAACATCTCAGGAAGAAAGTTCCTTGGCTTATTTCCTTAGTCACGGCCATATCCCAGCCATCCCGCAACCCAGGTGTCTTTCACTACCCTGGGCACACCAAAAATGTCTTCTGCCTGTCAAGCAACTGGGGACACAAGGCTACTTTTTCAAAACCAATCATAACATTGTTTAGGTTGTGTTCTTCCTGAGCAAGAAAATGTTAAAGTGTCAGTAAAAAGGAAATATAGACCAGATTAAAGAACAAGACTTGTATCTACTTTGCACTACAGACAGACAGTCTCAACTCCCTGAATCTCTGCCTTGCTCTGTTAGAGTCTTAGGATAGGGTAGCCTCAGGGCTGCTATAACCTAACTTACAGTTACTTGGGAAGACCTTTGCAAGCTGGTGCACCTCAGGAACAAATAGATGAAGCACAGTATTCCTGGCAATGCACTTAGACCCCTCCCATATCCCTGACAACAGGGATGCTGCAGGGAGAATGCCAAGAGGATATATTTTACTGCCATCGAAGAGGTGTGGGCAGTTTTCTCTGCTTCTGTACTACTTGGTGACATGTGTCTACACTGCAGAGCTTTTCCAAAAACACTTCCCCTATGTCCACACTGCAATCGTGTTCTTTCGAAAGAAAATCAAAAAGAACAGAGGGGATTTTCTGACATTGGTAAATCTTTCAGAAAAAGATGTAGGGGAAGAGGGAAGAGCACAGGTGTCCTCCTGGTGGCCACTCCGTCCATAGTCCTCACAACTTAAATGCGAGAGAGCATCTACACTGAATGGATGCTATCTTTCGAAAAAGCAGATCGCTTTTTTAATGTGCTTTTGCTGAGCAGATGCTCCCTTTCGGAAGAAGTTTTCGGAAGATCTCTTCCGGAAAAGCTTCTTCCGAAAGATGCCTGCAGTCTAGACACAGCCATAATGAGAGAAGAGCAAGTCTGTGCATCTGGCCTACAGAAACAGTTCAACAGTCATGTTTCCCTCCCCCCAAAATTACTTTTACATTTCAGCCCACTGATGTATTTAATTTAATGTTCTGGAGTTCAACTGGAATTATTTTCAACTGCTGCCTTTTAATATTAGATGTACATAAAGGCTGTGTCTAGACTGGCCAGTTTTTCCTGAAAATGAGCCGCTTTTCCGGAAAAACTTGCCAGCTGTCTACACTGGCCACTTGAATTTCCGCAAAAACGGAACAGTTTTCTGTTATAAGTATTTCCGGAAAAAGCACGTCTACATTGGCAGGATGCTTTTCCGGAAAAGCACTTTTCCCGGAAAAGCGTCTGTGGCCAATGTAGATGCGCTTTTCCGGAAAAAAGCCCCGATCGTCATTTTTGCGATCGGGGCTTTTTTGTGGAAAAGTGTGTCTAGATTGGCCACAGGCACTTTTTGCCGAAAACCGTTTTTCGGCAAAAGCAAAAGTGCTTTTCGTGCCAATCTAGACGCTCTTTTTCGCAAATGCTTTTAACGGAAAACTTTTCCGTTAAAAGCATTTCCGGAAAATCATGCCAATCTAGACGTAGCCAAAATGTTTGAGACAAAAACAAAACTTTGCAAAAAGCAAACCTACAAAGGTCCAACCCAGACTAAGTACCTTCTGGGAACCCATTATACAACATGAAGAATGAAAATCAATACACTTTGTCAATACACCAAGATCTCTAACAAAGCAGCATGCACCTCCTCTCTGCTCCCATGTATATATGCAACTCCTGTTACTTTTAACGGAAGTACAGGTACATAAAAGCCAAAATTATATTCTCTCCAAAAAGCGTGCTGAAGGTCCTTGGCACAATGAAACCATTGCTGTTTTGATGAATCCATTTGATGAATGCACTTGGGCTATCTATGTTAAGACAGTGTGTGCAACCCATGTGCCATTGGGTAGCCTTCTGCTGCATCTATATGCAACACTTCTAAGGAGAACAGGAAGAGGAAGAGGTCAGAGGATCTAATATACATCTAGGGCTCGTCTACACTGGCCCCTTTTCCGGAAGGGGCATGTTAATTTCACCTATCGTAGTAGGGAAATCCGCGGGGGATTTAAATATCCCCCGCGGCATTTAAATAAAAATGTCCGCCGCTTTTTTCCGGCTTTTAAAAAAGCCGGAAAAGAGCGTCTACACTGGCCCCTTTTCCGGAAGGGGCATGTTAATTTCACCTATCGTAGTAGGGAAATCCGCGGGGGATTTAAATATCCCCCGCGGCATTTAAATAAAAATGTCCGCCGCTTTTTTCCGGCTTTTAAAAAAGCCGGAAAAGAGCGTCTACACTGGCCCCGATCCTCCGGAAAAAGCGCCCTTTTCCGGAGGATCGGGGCCAGTGTAGACGTAGCCATAGTTCTTAACTCCAATATACAGCTCATGTCTCAGTGAAGGATCTATCCAGAAACGTAGGTAAATATATGGTCCTCCTTTTCCATACTGTCTGATGGACTCACACAAAAAGTCATGCACTTTTTCCTCCCAACATCCATGTTGGGTAAGTAGCCGTAGTATTTTCAGCGGTACAGATGGAAGACAGGCACAAAGAGTTAAGGAGTTTGATATATAGAAATGCTGAGCACCTAAAACCCATATGACGTCAATGCTAGCTGTGGGTTTTCAAAACCTCTGAAAAATCAAGTTCTAATGGCCTGTTCCATAGCCTTTGAAGTCAACACACATTTTTATATTGGCTTTAAAAGGATTTGATTTATGCCCTGAAGGATTTGCCTAAGATCATACAAGTCTGTATCAGATCTGGAAATTGACCTCTGATTCCCAGCTCATTGTTTTAAACATAAACCCACATACTCCATCCTTTCTTTCTGTAATATAGCACCACATCTAAAACATGGGGTCTGATTCTCCATAGTCTCGTACCTTGCAGTCATATACATTTGTGAAGAGTTCTTCACTGCAATTCTGATTTGGTAGCATTTCATACCTACTTTACACACATGGAAGTGATCAGAGAAGGAACGGCAGTAGTAAATCAGGCCCAGAGTTTTTAACGTAACTAATATTCAAACCCTGGCCACTTAATAACTTTTCTATTCTAAAACATTATAGTGTATTAATTAAATGAGGATAAGATTTCAATTCCCTATTGTAGGAATCTTTGAAAGGATTCTCCCCAATTTAACTGCTCTGCCATTTTTCTGTGGGAGAATCATATCAAAGAGTGAGTAACCTTTTCTAACCTGACACATGGGATGCTCTGAATTATTGGTAATTCTCTTTAGCTTTGTGCTTAGTAGAAACAGAGGCACTTGAGGCTGACATCTAATATACCTGAGCTTCAAACACAGCCAAGCAGCAATCATTAAATGTCATTGGTTATTAGCTTGAAATGGTTTACAATAGACAAAAAGACCTACCTCAAGGTAAGGGTCAACTGTTGCTCCTTTGACTTTACCAAGTCTCCTACTTTAAAAGTAGTCGAGCCCAGAAAGTTTCGCTATAAAACATAGGGAGAAGAGAGAAAGGAGGACATCATTAATTTCTCAAGTTTTAATCGTTTCATTTTCAGCCCATGTCTGCAAAACTGTCTTTAGAAGTAAGAGAAATTTTCAATGGGAACCCACTGGCATGATGTATTATCCTGTAGAATGCCTTCATACATCTGACACCATTTTCAATACTGTGTTAAGCATGGTTTACACAGACAGGAACCCATCTTTCTCATTAAAAACAATCAGACTGACAATCTGACAAATAGCAGGCAGTAAAATGAACACCCACAGGAAAAGTTTCATTAGGTTTGAAGGGTTTCCACCACCCCCCCATTCAAGTGTGTATCACAACAAATGTTAAATTTTAAATGTTCTTCTTGCTACAGTAATTCCTCAGGCCCTTAGGCATTATCATCTTTGCACTTGAGATATTAATATATTTGCTTCCTGGAGTTATTTTTATGTTGGGCTCAATACAAGTTATTATTAGAAAAGCTGTATTTTCCAAGTTAAGAGCCATGCTTATAAGAATGTTTTTTAGCTACTTCCAACCTAGGGTGGACCAACATTATTCTAGTACAAGTAAAGGGAAATCCAGCTACATTTTCTAAATTCTGGTTGACCTACTATGCTTTAAGTTGTCTTTCTTCCAATGTCAGCCTTCTGCATCCTCAAGGATGTTTATGCAAACAGCAAACTCAAAACAGTTTTTCTTTTTTCCTCAAGAGAACTTTTTACTCTCTCTCACCACTCATATTTCTCAGCACAAAATCTTCATATCAGTTGTACAAATGAGTCTTCTTATCCCAATAAGAATGAATAACCTGAAAACTTCTGCCATGATTTTTTTTAAATATGCAGCAACTCATGTGAATAGAGTACAGATATATTAATTAAGTCACATCAACTATGAAAATAACTGAGAACAGGCACAATTTTTGCATAATATCAATTTTATTCTTTATTCATTGTATAAGGTTAAGAAAAATGAAAGGTCTAGCAGGGGTGGGCATTAATTTTTGGTAGGGGCCACTCCAAGATTTTGGAAAGTGGTCAAAGGCCACACATTTCTGTAGAGGGAGTGGTGGGGTCTAGGATAGAGTTTGGGTGCAGAAGGGTGCACAGGTTAAAGGGATCACTCCAAGCCACTGGATCTGGCTCACGGACCACCCTGCCAGGACTCTCAGACACACAGCTGCCATGGTTTAAAGTGCAGTCCAGGTGTCTCTTCACTCCAGAGGGAGAGGGAGGCTTTATGTGATCTTCCCTCCCCCCAATCCTCAGCTCCTATTGGCTGGAAACAACTAGCCAATAGGAGCTGAGAGATTGGCCTGGGGGATGCAGCAGCACAAGCCTCCCCTCACTCCCGGAGCGGAGAGCCACATGGAGGGAGCATCCTACAGTTTTAAGTGATCTGGAGATGCAGCAGACAGGGAGCCGAGTCCAGCCTACTTTGGAGATGTTGCAGGGCTGCTGGCCAGAAGATGCTTAGGTAAGTGCCTCCCAGCCAGAGCCTGCCTCTGGCACCCCTGACCCTCCCCTAGGTCACTGTCCAAACCCTCTACTCCAGAGTACCACCTCCCTGCCTCAGGTCACAACTCCCTTCCAGACCTTGTACTCCCTCCTACACTCCTCCCCTAGGCCAGAATCTGCTCCTGCACCCAGACCCCCTCTCCCTGACCCTGAATTCCAATTCCCTGACTCAGGTCATAACCCCCTCCTTCACCCAAACTCCCTCTAAAACCTCATACCATCTTCTGAACCCCATGTCCTTACCCAATGCACCCTTTTGCACCCAAACTCCATCCTAGATCTCAAACCCTGTCCACCAAAAAGTGTGGCCCTTGATCGCTTTAGAGTGGCACCCACCAAAAATTATTGCCCACCCCTGCTCTTGGTGCTACTGGTACACAAATTAATAGTGATAATTCCTTGTATGAACTGAAGAGATGAAGAATAAGCATTTTGCCTATTTGTGAGTGGCCCCACACAAGCAAGGCCCTAGACCACTGCAAAAAGCTCTCAGTGGAATGAGCCTTGGTTTTCATATCTAACAGCTTAGTTCAATATAACCGTTCAGAGTCCAAAACATTTTTTCCCCCATTTCATATCCTTCATTTAAAAATACTTTCAAAATAAAAAAATGCTAGATGTCCCAGTGATCCAATGGAAATGGGTTACTCTTCCTTGCAATGGGCATAGCATTTGAAAAAGTGCCTAGTGGATAGCTATGGCACCAAACGGGGGCTACATCAAGATAGTATATTACATAGCAATGTGAATTTTTCACATCCCCTGACCAATGGAACTATGTTGACCAGGCCTTGGATGCCTTTTCCTGTGCTGGCATAGATGTGCCCACTTTACTCTAGGTCCTCAATTGCCATGCCAATTTACAAACCAATACAACTTTGCATGTGTGGTTTAGAGAGGTTTGAAAATTGAGATTTAAACAACCTGAATTATAGAATAGCTAGAATGCTCCTCTATAATTTTGCTATTGCTGGCAGGACAAATTACAGGAGATTTGTGCTGAATAGTTTGATTAATAATCCAATAATCACTTACTTAACCAAAGGAAAAGGAAGAAAAAAATCCCATGTCTGCGGTAGCCTCATGAAAGGCTAAAATGCAGATTATTCATTAAGATTTAAGTCTGCAGCCATATTGCACATTTTTCAAATGCATTTTTTTGGCATTATGCCAGGGATAAACCCTAGTAGTTCAAGGAGGAGGATCAGCGCTTCAGGATAAAAATCAACTTAAAATCTTTCCAGTCTGTAGTCTGCTGTTTGCCCAGCTGTTATTTTGCTATTAGTCAAAAACAGGTATGTATTATATATGTTTTGACTCCAGTCAGAAAGAAGCCAAAGTAGGCACTGGTGCTACACTCATGCAAAAGTGGTAAAATGTGGTCCAGCCAGAGTCACCTCTCCCTCTTCCACTCCACTGCACCCAGAATTGTGCAGAGAGAGATAGAGTTGATAGTGTGTGACTCCACTGGGATTCAAGCACTGACTCTCTTCCTAGCCATGAGGTCTTGGGCACAGAGAGGAGCCAGCCAAATACTCCTGCAGGAAGGAACAGAAGCAACCAAGGCTGGAATCTCTGGGGAAACGGTCAATGGTTTTGAGTGAAAATTCTTTGTCTTGCACTCATTGGCTGTTTTCACCAACCCTCTCCCTCCCTCCCTTTTACTCCACACCTGTCCTTATTGTCCTTTCCCTGTGCCTTGTTCCCCTCACTCCCTTTCCATTGATTTTTCTTTCTCCATTTAGCTTATCCACATCCTAAATGAACTCACCCCTCAAAAATATCATGCAACTAAAATGACATTTGTTGCTATCACATGTGTTATGCCCATCTTCCTTTCCCTTCCCATCTGTCTTGTCTATTTAGATTGTGAGCTCTTTAGGGCAAGATCCACCTATTTCTCTGGCTTTGTGCAGAGTCTAGCACAACAGGGCTCTGTTTCTGGCTGCCTCCTAGGCAATACTGTAATGAACATGCTTAAGTTATACTAGAAGTAGGTAGGGTCCCATGACGGTAGGTCAGGCAAAGAGAAGGGTGGGGGAGACACACAGATTCTGAATTCCAATGGTGAACAGAGCAAAAAATAAAGCAGAACCAGCATAATTTGCTAGCATGGATTTATTATTATTTATATATCACTATCACAAGTAACCTTGGTACTGTACATCTCCCAATTTACATTGTTTGCAAAGTTTTTTGATTTAAGGATTTTGATTTAAGGATTTTGTTTTAGTGCTAATTCCCTTCCCATTCTAATTCTTATGTCTCCCTTTTCCCGGCCACAAAGAAGAGTGTCTATCAGCCTGTGCATACTGTCAATATGCAAGAGTGATTCTAGATACCTTAGCATGCAACCTGGGAAATCTTATCATCATCAGACCTTAACAGGGATGCCCTTTTTCTTCAAGCCTATGGAATTTCAGTTTTATCTCTTATGCACACAGCTAACCCTAAATCAGGAGAAACACAATGTTCCCCCAAAACTAGGCCAGTATCACAATAAGCTCATAAAATATTATCAATGTCATTGCTTATTCAGACTAGGGATGTTAAATAGAGTGTAACTGATCAATCAAATAGTTGATGCATTTTGTATCTACGATTCCAGTGCTTCTCAACCTTTTCTTTTATAAAGTACCCCTTTTAAATAAATTATAAGTACCCCCAGCACCTACAGTTTTCAGACAGCTTTTTTTCTACCATTACAACACATTTGTTTAAACAAGTGAATCGTAGCTGGATGGAGGATGAACTTTTTGGGTGTAAAAAGTACAAAAATAATAAAACACTGTAAAACTTAACAAAAATTCAGTTTTCTCCAAATTTCAGTTGTGTTGATGACTTCTCTCGAGTACCCCTAAGGGCACTCGTACCACTGGTTGAGAAACATTGTACTAGTCGATTAGTCAATAGGGCACCTTCGACTTTGAAGTGTAGCAACAGCCCAAAGGCAAAAGCACCCTGTGGGACTCCCTCACTGACCCCGGGCTCCATGCGGCGCTGTCACTTTCAAATGCCGCATTGCAGCCTGAGGACACCCCAGCTGGCCCCGGGCTGCACACGGTGTTTCAAAGCAGCAGCGCCGCACAGAGCCTGGGGTCTGGTCCCAGGCTCCACACGGCGTTACCGCTTTGAAGTACCCCAATCTTTTCCCTCTTGCTGCCTCGTTCTGATAGAGGCAGCAGGGGGGTGGGGCGAAGCGACTAGCTGACAAGCTATCCAATAAGCATAGTCTTTCACATCCCTAATTCAGACACCAGAAGAACTGTTACAGCAATAACTGACCTTCCATTTTTTCAGGTATGCCGATGGTGGGGGGAGGGAAGAGGAGTACTGCCCCAGAGCCTGCTAATTCAAAGGGGCCAAGCCCAGGGCTTCCAGTTGCCGCTGCTGCTACTGTGGCAGCTGGAGCCCTGGGCCCTTCAAATCAGCACCTGGAGAGTCATACTATATGCTCTGTGCTGCTCTGAGGAGCAATAACTGACCTTCCATTTTTTCAGGTATGCCGATGGTGGGGGGAGGGAAGAGGAGTACTGCCCCAGAGCCTGCTAATTCAAAGGGGCCAAGCCCAGGGCTTCCAGTTGCCGCTGCTGCTACTGTGGCAGCTGGAGCCCTGGGCCCTTCAAATCAGCACCTGGAGAGTCATACTATATGCTCTGTGCTGCTCTGAGGGATGGGGGAGGAGCACACCATGTTCTGAGCAGTGTAGAGGGCTGGCTGCCCCGGCACCGCCCATTTTGGGAGCATGGAGCTGTTCCCCCCCCCCCCCCCCCCCCCCCCCCCCCCACTCTCCCCCCCCCAGCCTCTCCCCTGCAGGGCCCCCGACACACACCCTGATACCGAGCCTCACCTCGGACAAGGACGCTTGGCACCTGCATCTGCAGATGAACAGCCACTCCTGAGTGAAGATGAACCCCAGAAACCAGTCCTCACCCTTATTCCTGAAACCCAAAGGCCATGCTGTTCAAGGGAATGTGAGCCCAAGCTCTTTATCTAACCCAGACTTCTTGCAAGACACTAACAGTAACTTTAGAAAACTGGCATCAGTATAAAAATTCTCCTCAAGGAAAAATCCTGAAGTTTGGAGTCAAGGGGTAAATGTGCTAGAATCTGTCAGCCTCTGCATGTATTACTGCTGTCTCCTATTAATTTAATCCACTTCTAATGCAAAGTAAGTTGATCATCTCCATAGCTAACAAATTACTTACCCCAACATCTGTTCTTGGTTCCTTGTGTTCCGACAGGACACAGGTGCGGACCTGGGAAAAACAAAGCAGATTTTGGTTTGGTATTACTTGAAAGGGGAATAAGAGAGATTTGCTTATGGATTTCTTTCCACTGCCTTCTGACATTGTCGAGGGCTATTTCCATTCCAGTACATTTCTAAACATTATTTCCTTTTAATAATTTACTACTTTAATTTTTTTGGCATCAAGCCCAAGTCCTATTTGAGGAACCCATTTATCACTCTGAAACTTCCTCCTTCCTGCAGAGAATCAGGACTCTGCTCAACTGCTTCTTTCATAACTTTAGACCTTTAGTAAAATGACTGTTAGGTTATAAAATATTTTACAGCCTCTTTACCTCGAGTCACTCTCAGCAACCTACATTTTTCAAACAGTACAATGCCTCGTGGATATGAAAAGGTGGATTATATTGCAGTTTCTCCTACAAAAGGCTATGCTCTCGTGTTCACAGTTAAACACTTCACATATGTATGTATGTATGTATCTTGGAGTTTTCTAGACCCTAACTTGGACTGGTTTAAATCAAGGGCATGTTTTAAATCAGTTTAGTTAAACCAATGCAAGCACATGTGTTGATACTCTTCAGTTTAAAAGTTGCTTGTTTGATTCTTCCATAGAAACTGAGCCATATCAAGGAGGAGGGAATGTTGATCTCCTGTATTCAAAGCACCCAACCAGAAGGTGGGAGACCCACAATACAGTTCCCTCCTCTGAACAATTTCAACAGGAGAGACTGAGGAAGTCCCATATCAGAATACCCCGTAGTTCAACGGCTAAAGCACTCTGAGAAGTGGAAGATGCCTGTTGAAATCTCTTGCTCCCCCCTCTTCCCTGGAACAGAAGACGCAATGGAACCTGACAAGTGCTCTCACCATTGGATTCCACTATCATGTCCTCCTGCTGTGAAATTTTGAATGGGACCTGATCTGGTTGGTGACCTCTGAGCATGCCTGCTGGATTAGGTAACTCAGGGAGATAAATATCTATTTCTCCCGATCTGTAAATTGTGCTGGAGCTTGGGCAGGAGGTTGGCATCCAGATACCTAAAGTAAGGCAAGAGCACGCAGAAGCAGAAACGTAGGTGCAGAGGAAACTTTGACTGTGAAAAATTAGGCACTAAGTGAGTTTAAGTGCCAACAGGATTTTCAGTGGAGCCAAAATTGGGATTTAGGTACCTAACTCTGCAGATTAGGTGCCTTAGTATCTTTGTGGATCAGCGTTACCCCATTAAGGGATAATCTGATACCATACAATTATCTCCTCCCCACATCTCCTTTGAGTTTATCTGTGTGCCTTGGCATTCATGGCAGGCACAGTCCCTATACTTCATTTTAAGAACAGGGCCTCTAGCTGTCCATGACCCCTTTACAGGATGCAGCTTTGTTATGTGCATAACTATGCTTCATTTTCCCAACGAAGACCAAGCAAAATTTGGCCCAATGTTCATTTTAAGCATCTGTTTTTCCAAATACTGATACTTGTTTGTATTTTTAATATTTATATAATTTTCTTATGTGTAATCTTTGAATAAGAGTTGAAACTAAGGTATGTCTTTCTAAACATTTCTAAAGTTGGCATCTGTGATAAAAAAAGACCCTCTCATTCTTATAAAAAAAAAAAACCACACACACACACACACACACACACACACCCCCCCATCCACTCCATCTGTGTGTTTAAATATGAAATATACTGTTGGGCCCAGAAAAACAAGGCCTGGTCAACATTATGCTAAGGAAAGTTAACAAAGGCTAATTTCATAGGCCTCTGAGTACTCTTGACCAGAACCAGGAATGTGGTTCAAACAGAGGCGCACCCTCCATGCTGGTTTAGGTTCTAAAAGTAAGATAAGTGATAAGTTACATATTTGTACCTACTGTAAGTAGAACAGCTTGCTTTGGGAACTGGTCAGTAACTCCCTGTTTCTGTTCCCCTTCGCTAATCTTACCTCCCTATTTTTGCCCTTTGTTTGTGCCCAACTCCCTTGTCTCCTTGTTCCTGGTACCTGCCTTTTGAGATTGATAAGAAAGTTGCTGATGCATTATGAAGCACTTCTGGCCACAATGAATGGTTGGCCAAGATATGCATAGATATTAAAAGTTTTAGAAAGGGGGGTAAGTGGCTTGGGTGAAGAGCTTATGACGCGACGGATCTGTCTTTATAAGCCTACCTGTTACTAAAAACGGGGCTGGTTCTCTTTGGAGACGGGCCGCTCTCTATTGTTGTGTGCACTCTTCAATAAAGAGCTTGTGATTGGACTTTGCTGGTGTTGCCTGTCTCTTTGCGGTCAGACAACGAACCTAGCCGTCAGGGCTAGAGTCCCTGACAATACTTCAAGGAACTCTTTCCTTAAAGGTACACAGCATTTGGGGTGAGAAACCTCTCTCTTCTCAGGCAGTTGTGACACTATATTTTTCACAGTAAGAAGAATATTTCTTTCATAAAACCGTGGAGACAAGCAGGAAAAATGTTACATTTCACCCACTGAAGGAACAATCATCTAGTCCACATTAAGAATTTATAGGAAGCCTCAGTTGGATATTAGATATTCCTGTGTGTTTCTATAGTTATAAACTTGCAGTTCAGAGGAATACTGCTTTTAGGCAGACCACTTATTCCTATTTTTCACACAAAAAGTTAATATTTAAAATTTAGAGTAGTTATAAACACTGCATGTTTTACAAGTGAAAATAAATTTGTCACTTTCTCTTAAGGCATGTTTTACTTAACATGTCTGGACAAGACTAACAAATTTCTGAAAAAGAAAAAAAAAAAGATTTTTGCACCCTTGACATCCAATGGCTTGGTTACAAGTATCAGAGGGGTAGCCATGTTAGTCTGAATCTGCAAAAACAACGAGAAGACCTGTGGTACCTTATAGACTAACAGACTTACTGGAGCATAAGCTTTTGTGGGCAAAGACCCACTTCATCAGATGCAAAAGTGGTTACAGTTAGTATACATTTTTAACAAAGTAAATCTGTGAAATAGGATAACTAAAAAGTAACACGTGGTCCAGAGTTGCAGTGATATAATCCCCTTTCCTTATTAAAATGATTATAAACAATTAATTTAAGTAATATGAGCAAACAAATTGTTTAAGAACTACAGCACAAATTATCTCTCCTTCACTGATTTCTATGGAATTGTGTTTACATCCAGATTCCTGTTCAACAAAACTTTCAAGTCATGTTTAATTTTAAGCATATATGTAAGTCTCATTAGAACTACGGTTCAACTGATTTGCTTAAATGAAGTCCTTGGGGACGGATGAAAAAAAACTAAGTAGATGGTGAGTTCTGCAGAGTACTTAATGTCCTCTGCTGTCACAGAATTCAGTAGAAGTGGAGAGGTCTCACATCTCACAGAACTCAGAACATTGTAAGACTGGTCCTGTACTCAATGCGTACTGTCCTAGTTTAGGAGAGCATGTAAGCACTCTCTTGGATAGAGAATTATTTCCTGAATTGGGACCTATATAAGGCAGGGATGGAGGAAACACATAAAACTCCAAACCTACAGTGCAGACTGCTCTGTGGTAAAAACACCCAATTTCATATACAGGGAATTAATCAAATACATGAAAATTTTTGTTGAGGGATTAGTTAGAAAAATTGTCAATGAGTTTATTTTTATTCAGCTGCATTCACACACCTTTCTTGATCACATTAGAATATATATTTATGCAAGCTAATTTTTCTGCAAGCTAATTTTTCTTAAGACTAATGGCCAGAGAACAGCTGCTTTTTGGTTCAATAACAGTATTCATAAGTGAATATAGGAATGCTTATGATTTTATTAGGACTGCTCAGAATTTTAATTGAAACTGTTCTTTCATAAAAAACAAACAGTTTTCAACTGAATGAATCTAACAATCAAAAATGCCTGTTTTTTGTGGAAATTGTCAGTTTTTTTATGCAGATATTTTTTATGCAGATATTCCATGGTACCTCATGGGAAAGTCAGTTGAATTGCTTAGCACATCTACTTTCCTGTCTGGGCTGGGCTCCCCATTGGATAGCCTCTCTCATGAGACTCCCATGATTGATTGCTTCCCCTCACCAGGAGGGGAAGCTAGGATGCATCAGAGAGATGTAGTCCAACTGGGCAGGCCAACCTACAGAGGAAAATGGGAGCACAACACATCTTAATTACATCTGGATGAGACACTGTACTGGCATTTTACAGTTCAATGATTCTGACTTTTGGTCAAAATATTGTTTTGAGGTTTTTTTTTATTCCTCATTCAAAAGCCAAAATGTTCCAATCGAAGCAGAACCTATTTTTCAGCCTGTTCTTTCATTTATGGCTGGAAAGACACAAACTCTTTTTTTTTTTAAGTTTTGGATAACAGTAAATATAAACAATAATATGACAAATTAGACTTTACAAACAATAGTAAATAGTCAAACAAACAGTCTCAACAAAAGGGTGACTTGCAAATAACTCAGGCTGAAAAATATTTACATATATTTTCCAAAAAATTATAAATAACTAATACATTTGTCAAGGTCAACAACTGTGCATAATTCACAAAAAGGAAGAAAAGATAATTCATCTGATTACTATGAATAACTCACCAAGCTCTAGACTCAAGTCATGATTAAAAAAAAAAATGAAACGATTAAAAAAATATTTTGAAAAGCAAATAACCTCACAGAACAATTCATAACTAAAACTACTGCTACGTTTTGGAATCTCATTATAAACAGGAAACCCTCACCTTTGCAAGGGAATCATTTGGCAAATCTAAAATTATGGTCTACAGCTATTTTAATCTCAGATACATGTTACACTATCAGAGGGTATGTTTTTCTCTGATTTTGAGACTAAAAGAGTTTGTATCCTCTGCTCTGGAACAAGACGGAGCAAGCCTTGAAAAAAATTACTCCTTTATATGCAGACACAATAGGTTTTTCAAACCAGCAGAAAAAGTAAGATGCAGTGCAGTTCTCTGACTTGTACTTGCTTGGTGGGTGAATGGAAGGACTGTTACTATTACAAATTAGAAA